GACTTTCTGGGGCTCTACAAAGCCATCATGTTCAGGAATTACACCTAATACCATATCTGCCTCTTGGTTTCTTGCTCAGTTACAGAATAAGCTTATATAACTAACAATTCCCTGTGGCTTTGACACCCAAGAACTAAAAGCTGTTTTAGGGCAAGTGATTATAAATAACAGAGTATCTGAAAAAAGAGGGAATTTCTTAGTCATTCAAATGATTCTTATACCTTCACTCTATACCCTGCAGTGAGTAATACTGTGGGGATTTATAAAGGCGAACAAAACAAAGTGCTGCCCTAAACTGACTGGGGTGACGGGGGCTCCCAAAGTTCAAGGGTGAGGAAGAGCAGCAGAAGGGATGTCTAAGCTGAGACCTGCTGTGTGTGTGTGTGGTGGACAGACGCGAACTCCAGGCAGAGGCAACGGCTCACACCAACAGAGCGGCAGCAGTTATGCCGGGGGCCCACCTGGCTCCGAATGGCGAGCGTGCAGTGGGAGGCACCGGCACCTCGATTCCTTCCACATCGTCACAATAGGCCCACGGAGGGCTCAACAGAGACTTCCAGGACCTGGCCCTGTCTTCAGAGATGACACTTTGGCCCCAAAAGGCGACTGCAGTATGACCTGAGTCATAAGGATGTCTCTTTGTTACATACACTCCTTTTATCTTATATTGTGCCTCCAAACCCTGGGCCTTCACGGACTGGTCCCGTTAGAAGTTGCTGTTTGGCAGAAGGGATTTGGAAATGCCTCCAGAGATGAAAGGGTTTAGCATGTGAGAACTCAGGGTGGGAAATCATCACCAAGAGATTTTAATTACATCTATCACAGTAAGTTATCTTCTATTCCACTGCCAAACTACTCAGTTCAGGATGTCTTTCTGGCCGGAACCGAGGGTGCGGGCCCATCTGCATTAGCCCGGGAACCACCCGGGCTTTGGCTCTGCAAGTCCTGTGTCTTAGGAGGTCATCGGTCCCAGGGAAGCCCTGCCAGGTGTTCACCCGACCCAAACCTCCCCACGTGTTTCTATCCCACTCCCTCCAGACCCAGGCACAGCAGAGATGGGGAGGGAGTTAATACCCTTCCAGCTGGTCCTTTTCTAGACACTGGACGTGGCGTTCTTCGGTTTCTTTTTTCCTGTCTTCCAGGTAAATCAACAAAGGTCTGCTAAGGTACGGACACCACCTTCTCTCTCTTTATACTTGTATTGCTCATTCTAAATGTTTCTCTGTGTCCCTACAATGATCTCTCGATAAACTCCTCACTCGTGAATTCTCGGGCTCTTGCATAATCCCAGATCACCATTTCTTCTTTGATTTTATACTGTGCATCTCGAAAATTCACTGGAGTCATATATGCACATTGACTCTTGGTCACACCCAGTTCCTTGAAGATGAGCAGTTCTTCTGGGTAATTCTGGGGGTGCTCCTGGCCATGTTTTCACAGATGATGGAGCATCATAATAAGGACAGCTTCATGGGGTGATCTCGCCATAAAAAATAGGCACAGCTCCATTTCATGGCTCAGGCTCTCCCCAAACCAAAACTGCATGTTACTGTAATGCAGTCTCATGGATTTGAGCTGATGACTTTTACAACTGCTATCTCCAGTCTGTACCTCTTCTCTGATCTCCAAGTTCAGATCCTGCTGTCTATTAAGAGCCCCATTTGGATGGTTAATAAGGATCTGTAAAATAACTCTAATCAAATTTAACATGCCCCCAAACCTTTGATTTCCCCAAACTACTTCTTCCTGTAGGCTTTTCTACCTCAGTAAATGGCAAACTCATTACTCCAGTTGCTCAGGTAAAAAATCTTGGCCCGTCAGCAAGTCTGCTGGCTCTTCTTTCCAAATACATCTCGTCCAACCCCTTCTCCTCACATTTACTGTGACTGTCTAAGCCCATCGTTTTTCTCCTGGATTATGGCGGTAGCCTCCTAACTGATATTCCCGTGTCCAATCTCTGCCCTCCGTGTTCGTTCACCACATAGTAGCTAGACCAGTGAACCCTCTGAAATTGTTAGGTCAGAGCACGCCATCAGAACCTTCAGATGGGCTCTCATCTCAGAGTGAAGGCCAGCACCCTTACTAACGGGCCAGGGAGTCTTACACCATCTGTACCCTCCCGCACCCCTCATCTCCTGTTATTCTCCACCTTATACTTTCTGCTCCAGCCACACTGGCCTCCTGGCTAGTCCTCTGGCACTCTAGGCAGGCTTCCATCTGCACCCTTGGTGCTGGTTCCTCTCTCTGCCACACTTCCACAAGTAATGCCATGATTCTCACCCTCACCCTCACCCCCGTGGGTCTTTAGTCAGAAGTTATTTTTCCAGGAAGGCCTTCCCTAACCAACCTAGTTGAAGTTGCAACCTCCAGCCCCTACACAGCATTCTCTTTTTCTCTTCCTTGCTTTCTCTCTCTACCACTTATTACCATATGACTTGTTATGTACTCGTGAATTAACTGTCTCCCTCCACAGAATGTAAATGCCATGAGGGAAGGGATCTTGGTCTATTTTGCTCCTTGCTATGTCCTCAGTAACTATTTTAACAGTGCCTGACACACAACAGATGTTCAATAAATATTGGTTGAATGAATGACCGTACTTGGTCTCAGGTTGGCCTGGGGGTTATATGGTGCAGCTGCTGGAAGTGGGTTTGGAATTGGACAAACTTGGGTTCAAGCACTGTGAACCCACTTATTAGTCCTGTGGCCCTGGGCAAGTCACATAAGCCTCAGTTTTCTCCTCTGCGAAATGAGGGTAATAATCCCTGCCCTGCAGGGCTGTTCTAAGTAGGTGGAATTAAATCAGGCAGAAATGAGCAGTCACAAAGAGGAGTTGTTAAATATAGTTTTTGTAATCAAGATGGGTCCAATGATGAGCCAGAGCCCGGGAAACACTGATATCCAACAGTGGCCCAGCATACTGTCACTGGAGGAAGCTTTTAACGGGCACTGGTTTTATTCCACATACTATTTTAGGCATATCAACCTGGGGGTGGTGGTTTAAGGATTAAAATTTTGAACTCTGCTGAGATGAAGTATTGTAGAAACCAAAAAAGCAAGTGAAATTCTCCTACCACTGCGTACATGAGAATATAATGTACCTATTAGAAATCCTTTATAAATCTTCCCTACATTCCTTGATCGAGCATTTAAAGCCCACAATGGAATTAATTTTCAGATGCTTTCAGAATAAACTTTGTTTTCTGAACATGTCCAGCTCACATCTGGAATCCCTAACATTCATACATAATAAACTCAGAGCCTGAGTGTAACTGTTTTAAACAAAGATCCCAGGTGTAACTGCCACAATCTCAGGGGCAAAGCCACTGCCTTCTCCAGACTTCCTTGTTACTATATGGGTAGGAGCATCCTCAAGGCAGCATGCAATGTCAGCAACAAAGCCAACTCAACGGGGAAAGGAAAGGTTATTTTCAAGCTAAGAAACTGTTACTTAGAATAAAAGGCAATTTCCCTAACACAATGATGTTGAAAAGCACTCCTCTTACCCCATTTTCTAAAGGAAGATTTAAAAAATTTATCATTGTCAGAGTTTGAAAAGTTCATCTCTGAAGATTATTAATAACCATTTAATGAAAATACAACCATACCACATTTTCTGCTTTTCATTCCCTACAGCCAAAGCCCTCTGAGCCCATTTCAAACTTCATCCCTTCCTCACCATGCACTCCCAGGGAGGTTAACTGGGTGCAATGGTGTAGAGTGCCGCTGACTCATAGGAGCTCACGTCATGGCAGCTTCATTTTGGAACTTAGGACTCCTGGTCCCAGTTTTACTTATCGCCCAACACCAAAATCATATAAATCATCATTTACTCTTTTCCATAATGGACTTTCTTTGTTTTGGAAGAATAATAGCCTACCCTATATTACTGCATATTTTATACTCATTCCCTTAAAAAGCAACTATTATTTTATTAAATAAGTATTAAAATTATTAAATGTTAATTACTTTCCTAGCCTGAGAAATGTCATTTGTACAAACATTCTTCTTGAGTCTCATCTACATCAGCGCAAAAATGCCTGTGGAGGCCCTGCTTACGTATCCTCAGCCAAGGTTTCTGACCTTGGCACTACTGACATTTTGGACCAGGTACTTCTTTGTCATGGGGCTGCCCTGGGCACTACGAGATGTTTAGCAGCATTTCTGGCCTCTACTCATGAGATGTTAATTCATTCATAGTGAAAAAATGACTTTAATAAACTAATTTTCAGGGCCTGTGAGTACACAGAAAACCTACAACAACAAAAATCCCACACACATATCTGATATCCACAGCCAGATAGAAGGTGTGAAAACACGAAGCTAAGTTTTGTGCCAAGGCAACACGGCCCCAAGAGGAGGAGAGTCAGGTATTGTGCGGTTGCTCAGTGGGAGTTTTCATGCTCCCCACTCTGGTAAAAACTGGAAATCACATGTGACAGGGACAGATGGGGAGGAAACAGAAAGCCAAATTATGAGCTGCAGTATTAACATGATGCTTCGTGCCATGATGGTCAGTAATTTACGGAGCAAAAGGGGCCTTCTGATTCACCTTGAACCTTCCTCTTGATATAATAAGGGAGTGGCTGAAAAAGCCCTGCCCCTGATAAAGCAAAATCTCACAACCGACTTTTGGTCTTGACCTTCTACCTAAGTAAGACTCCGCTTTGCTCAGCCACGAGGCCCTGCGCTGGGTGTGGACTGCAGCTATGGCTGTGGTCAGCACGCCGGGTGAGGAGCGGGGCCGGCCTCACCTCAGCCACTTAGTTTGCTTCCTCATTCAAGAATGGGGTCACTCCTACCCCCCGCACAGGGCTGCCTGAGCTGTTGGCACACAGTTCATCCTCAACACATGTTAATGGTTGTGGTGGTGGTTATAAATGCCGAAGTCTGATAGAGAAGGAAGGTTAAAAAAATGCTGCTCAAAATCAGACTAACCATATTGATGGTGTGACTTCCTCTCTTCCTCCCTTCCCTAAAAGACAAAGAATACACCAAAAGAATCCCAGAACATTTATTTCCACAGGTTCTTGATAAAAGAGCACAACCTTGAATAACAGTTTACCACTGAACGTAACAGCAAAATTACATAGCAAGCAGGAGCTGCCCCTGGACCCTTTCACAGAGAAGCTTCAGGAAGGAATTTCCACCCCCTGACGGTTGCACAGTTACGCATATCTCCTATGTACTACAAGCCCCATCCTGCCTCTTGTTCTCTCCTACTTCTCCAACTGAAATGTGTGTTGACAAGCTGTACGTGTGGACACAAAAGGCTCACTTTACCTCCTTGAGGAAGGAGCTGAGAATGTTTTGGAAAGAAGTTACCCCAACATGATGGAGAACCCAAGCCGTGGCTTCAGAGCTAGAGCTAGCTTTCTCCTCAGAAGCCCTTCCATTCTAAAAATGTCACCGTGGGTGCCTGAAATTTGAAAGCCAGTGGGTTCATGGTGCTGTGTTCACTCCTGTCCTCAATTTCTCCCAAGTTCCGGTCTGCAGGGAAGAGACACGGGGGAAGGAGAAGCTGAGACGTGTGGGCATCCCACACCCAGCTCAGGCTGGGAGGACACAGAGCGGGATGAGGCTCAGGGTACACAGTTTGCCACTGAGGAGACAGAGACCATTCAAAAGCCTGTGCTCGACATGAGGCTATTCAACCACACCTCTCCCTCCACCACCGCTATGGATTAGGAATTTTCAATGTTCAACACTGATCCCTGACCCCAGAAACCCCACCATAAGCCTCGAGAGCACCTTATTTAAAGTGCTTAGCTGGGGCTTCAGTCTGACCACTTGCCACTCACAGTTCTGCAGCCCTTCTCGGCAGGTGATGGGAAGTCACAGTGCCTTACTACATTGACCACCGTGGCTCTGATCCCGCAGACAGCCTGCTTTAGGCAAAGGAGAGGCCAGAGGGAGGAGGCTGAGGCTGCCCCCATGGTCACTGTGAGTCCCAGGATGGGGCTAGGGAAGCTTGTGGTGGGGGCTGGGGCGCTGTGGGCCTGCTAGGCAGACGCCTTTGCTGCCCTCCGGGCCTCGTGCTCCTGCTTTGCCCTCTCCCTCTGCTCCCGTTCCCTCTGAATCAAGTGCGCCTGCTCCAGGTGCCAGTGCTGCAGCTTCTGCTCGTAGGCTGCCATGTCCTGGGCTTCGCAGGTGGGGAGCTGTTCCTGCATAAGCTGGGCGGTCAGAGTCAAAAGGCTTTCTGATTCAACTCTGCCCAGGGCCTCAAGCTTGGAGTGCAAGTCCTGTTGGAAACAAAGGAAAAATAGAGGAGATGGGGGGTGGGGAGGAGGGTGCAGATGGGAGAAGACAAAGAGGAAAGGAGATTAAGTCACTTGCAAAACCTCCACACATTCTGCTTGCAGGAAAAGGCACTTTACTGGGAACCTGTCATGCTGCCTTTCATCTAGACACTATGAGCGTCTGCCCCCCCTTTTTTTCAGTCCAGCAATTTTGCTAAGATGCACCAAATGTGACTTCTCTCCCTTCACTCACGAACAGTAAATGGAACTCTATATGCTGAGATTCCCTATGTACTTTCTTGTTTTAATCCACAAAGACAGCGCAAGTCTAACAAACCTACATTTCTGCTCTGACCTGCACCAAAGCAAGCAGCGAACTCTCAGAGCAAGGCACTCTAAGACGCACACAAAATGGCAGAAGCAGCTGATAAACGGGAGCAAGCCCATCCACATCCTTTCTTTCAGAATGACTGAGATGAATGTTTGCCTACCCAGGGTTTCTTTCAACAGATGGAAATCATTTCAAGAATTTTCTACTAATGGCATGCTAAACAGCTCCCATGAGTGCTCGCACTATTATAAGCTTCCACCTGCTGAGCTCCACTGCAGGTCCGCCTTTGCAAACCGACTGCTTACGGCTCCATCTGAAATGGCATCTTGGTTTGGGCGGTATTGTATTCCTGGAGAAGTCAAGTACTAAAAACACTAATCTCCTTAAGTGCTTCAAGATGTAGATCATCAAGAGAGAGCCACTTACGGCCCAGCTGTAGCTTATGCCGCACATCCCCATGTCCCCAAAACAAATGCAATTCCCTGGCATAGGTGACGAGGCCTGTTCCAGTAGTGGGGTGGAAGGTGGGCAGGATCCATGCGTTGAGGAGTGGCTAGAGGCCTCGTGTGAGGGTCAGTCCTGTAGAAATGGACCCCAACCAAATTACCTGAGACTAATAAAAATCAGGCCACAGGAAGAAAAAGAAATGTGCAAGGAGGATTCTTTCTTTCTGATATCACTTTCTATGTGGGTTGGGGCCAAGGAGACAGCTTGGGACACCAGGATAAGGACTCGAATCTGAGTCAGCAAACTTTTGTTCAAATCCCCAGTCAGTCAGTCACGGGCCAGTTCCTCTCAGCCTGTTGTCATGTAACATAGGAAAAGCAGCATCCACCATGCAGAGCCACAGTGAAGATGAATGAAATGCACTGATGCCTAATATGCAGCCAGCAGCCAATAAATAGGTCTTTTTCGATTTTCAAAACAATGCATGTGTAAAAGAATGAGGACTGAGGATTTAATGCAGCACAGATTTCTATTCTCTGAGATTAAACATGTAAGAAACAAGTGGAAGAAGTAGTCACTTTTGGGAGTGTTACAGCAGCATTTTTTGTTTGTTTTTCAGCCTTTCCTAATCTGCAAAGTTAAGAGGAACAGGTAGGAATGTAAGTTCTTAACTTAGCTGCCAATTCTCTGTGTACCTAATATCCATCAACCCTTCTTTCTCAGTTTTCAAATTCTAAACGAGGGACCTTGAAGAATGACTTTTCAGAATTAGCGGGAGGAACAGCAGCTGCAAGTACAGAGGAGTCCTTATAACATGGGGACACGGTATTTCATAGCTGGTTCCATAGCATTACTGAACAGAGCTACATGTCATCATCAGGCAAAATGACACCTCTCTGCCCCAAAATGACACACTAGGTCAGCTGGCATGGATAAGAAGGTTTCCTGCTTTATACAAAGAATTCTGTAGGCAGCACATTTTTCTCTTTGCACTACATAGACAAGAAACAAAGCAAAGCAGAGGCCGAGGGGTTAACCTGTAACACAGCTCTTCTTCCCGGACGCAGATCACAGAATATTTTGGGCCATGCAGCTGTAAAGCTACCAAAGGCAGCTTGAGCGCTCGGGGCTGTTTGGAAAAGAAACTTGTTTACATCTTCCATGTAGTCCAAAAACGTATTCGGAGGGCCCGAGTGCACAACACAAAGCCGAGCAACAGAAGATGCCTGCAGCTGATCTCCATCCTACTCAAATGTGGCTTTCTAATTTCCACTTGGGGTTCTGGGTTATCAAGCACATGAGTGCAATATGGGAAATGACCAGACCCTTTCCACCTGGGGTTGGAGTCAGGCGACCGTTCTGAGGCGGCTAGTACCCACCCATCAGACACATCAGGGATGAGTGCGCCTAATGACACGCTGCCCCAGTTGAACAAAACTGGGACCGATTAGCTCACGCACAAAAAGGAGCATAAAAATTCATTTGTTTCTTTTAAGACCGCTTCCTGTTTGAAGCCTCATTTGTGATGTCAGTTTTTCATGCCTCCGTGTGTGACAGTGATGCATGAAAGGCCTGCCTGTCTGTCACCACAGCCGAGAAGCATGTTTAATGCCCGGCGGAGAGGGACTCCGTTCTGCTACAACGCACCTTAAATCGTTCCAGGTACTGGGGAAGCTTGGACTGTTCCGTCTCCTCCACGTCCAGCTGCTCCAGCAGCTCTTCTGAGCCCCGGCTGGCTTGCCCTTCCTGGGGCCGTTCCTCCGAAGCTCCGGAGGCCGGAGCAGTCAGCGCCTGCAGCGTGCCGTCCAGCACAGCCAGCTGTGGAGCAGAGAGAGGCAGGGACTAACCATCCCGTGGCCCTGAAAACACACCACGCAGAGAGGCTGGGCCAGGGAAAGAAGGAAGGAACAGCTGGGATCTGCACACTCAGGAACTCTTTCTCTTATAAAATCACCAGAGAGAGACGTGGTTATCTGATTTTATATCAGAAATTCCCCGTCGGATGGCAGGGACGACCTAGCACAAAACACACGGGACAATTATGCAAGCTCAGAATTATTTGTGTACGGATCAGCACCGCGGCGTCTGATTTCACCTTTAGTCAACCAGGGAGGGATCCAAAAATCATGTTCGATGGGGACTCAAAGTATTCCCTCTTCCGTGTCGTCTTCCTCAACCGGTTTGGAATTGGGAGAAGGAGAGAAAAACCACCGCACAGCACAACCAACAGAGGGCCATTCTGAATGCGTGGGAGAGCCTTAGAAAAGCCTAGCCTTTATTCATCTATAAATTAGGGAGCCGCACAACCCACATAAGCTGCTGACAGAGACTCGACAGGCAGACGTGAAATGAACTGTATTAAGGTGATTTCTGTGACTTGCAAAGTAAGTAAATTGTAAAACAGGCTTTCTTTTGGTTTTGGCCTCTCTCGTGCACCACATTCACTTCGGGGCACACCTTCCCCTGATCCCCTGAGGGCCTAATCATCAGAGATTCTACAACCTCAAGGCCAGCACGAGCACCTCCTTGCGTACCAATTAATTCTGACCACGTCGCCTTAGAACAAAATTCCAGAAAATACTAAGGCCCTTTAATACCATTAATACCTTATACCCAAACCCAAGATATATTCCGTTCTTGCTGACATCTGAATCACTTTCCTGTTAAGACAGAGAATGCAAATCTGGCTCAGATTGGAAGAATATTTCCCTGGCAAAGGATTTACATATAATATTGTGTTTTTGATCACTAGCACAGACTATAGCAGGGTTAAATATGAATATATGTTTAGGAATGTGTATGTTCTGTTATCAACGTCTGCCAAAGAACATGATGATTCACCAGACATTAGTATCTGGTCAGTATAAACACCAGACATGCACATCTCATGACTAAAATGAAGCCAAGGACTGAGTCCTAGTGATTGGGGTCAAGGCAAAACCAAGAATGAGCTCAAAATTAACTTTTACATCCTGGTACTGCAACAACCAACATCCATCTAGGCCTCCCTCTTATGACATAAGCTGCTTGGATAGGAGTGGACACTGGCTGCCTGTAAGGCTAAGGCTTTCATGTGGCTCTAAGATGCTACATTTCCTGTAGCCTAAGTCTAGTGGCTTCATAGTGTCAAGAGTCCTAGGTGACTGAGAGATGCACACTGGGGCTGGTGGGAAGACAGCTGCCTAGTCCAGGCAAAATGAACCCCTCAGAACTCTGAAAGGAACATCTGATCCACATTTCCCCAGCACTGAGCATTCACCACAGAATGGTAAATGGAGGCAAAACAAGACTCTAGTCCATCTCTAGTCCCCAGATTCGTTTCTTAAAGGCTTCTATGGGTGAATATAATTGCCATGTACTCTCCCAGGACTACAAGGGGACAGAAATGCCAAAAATTAAAAATGAAATATTAACTTTTGAGCTCCCACTGAGATTTTACTGGGGGAGTGGGCAGTATTTTATTGAACTCAGTTTCAATTTCAGGGGAGAGGGACAGTTTTCCTCCCAGACAGTGAGCTATAGAATCAACGTTCATCTTCTCTAATACTTTTTTAACATGGAGAATGTGTGTGGATTTTCATTCCTTTTCAACTGGGTGAGTACACGATTCTACAGAAGTAAAGAGAGTAGGGGGAGGGGAAGACAATGTAAACAAATTCACAGGCTGGCTCGCAAGGAACAGGAGATGGCTAAAGCGCATGGACTTAGGGCCGAGGGACGTACCGCTTCTGCACACAGCTTCCCATCGTCCGGGGATGAGGCCACCTTCTCCATCACTTGAAGGGCTCGGTCAAGGTAGCCAGGTTGCCACAGCAGAGGCATATTATGGTACACAGCCCGCAGCCCTCGCTGCAGCTCCACCTTTCCTGTAGCCAAAAAGAACAATGAAGAAGCTTCAGCTGTGGCTTCCCACTGTGGTGGAGACAGAGGACTTGAAAGCACAAATCAATTATGAACCTGGAAAATAATTTCAAATCTCCACCAAGAGCCTCATCCTGTCCAGCGACCTGGTGCCATTTCAGATGGATGATGAAGAATGTGGTGAAATTCACTGAATCTGTTTTTTAATACAAAGTTGTACAAATATGCTTTTCTTCTTTTTCATTTGCGCTGGTGGAAATTATCAGGAGGATGTATGAATCATAGAGCTGAGGGAAATTTAGAGAGGTTGATATATCTGTCTCTTTAAGTGGAACTACCCTTATAAAACGAGTCAAACAACTGAAATACTATTTTTGTTTCAAGAACAAAATCTTCCTCAGAAAAAGAAATCCCACAATTCTCCTACAGTGGAAATCTTGTCAACATATGACAACTTTCCCTTGCCAGCAAATGTTTGACATTTTTCAAAACGCTCCAAAACACCCCATCGACTGTCCTTATGAAAAAAAAAAAGATTTCATTTTATTCTTCTTTCCTTTATTTGAGCTTCATCAGCACTTAAATCATAAAGTCTTCATCATCCTCTTCAGATCTTCGGACATGAATGTTTTTCTTTGTACCTCAAACCACCACAACTGGAGCTCAAGATGTGGACACTAGACAGCAGGGTCCTCAGGTGGGCCAAGGGGCTGTCTCCGTGTTCCTGTGGAACAGAAGCCCTCTCTGCACTAACGGCCAAAGTCACCTTGAGCGGCCAGGTCTTCAAGCTGCCTTCACTTATCTTTCCTGGGAAGGAGGATTTGGGAAGGCTGTAGTAGGACATAAATAGACAAAGCTTATCAGGTGACAGCTAATTTTAGACTTTTAAGACGCCTGGGGCTAGACTGCAGTCACATTCGGGGAAGCTGCTTCCCCTGGGGTTGAGTGAGGCTGCACAGCACACGACAGGTGGGAGCAAAGAGCTTTTGATCTGACGGCTGCCTGTCCCAAAGCACCAGGGCCTCTGCGCAGAACAGCAGCAACAACGCACATTTTCTTAGCCCTGACAACTCCCTCAACAACTCATGCAGCCTGATAGTCCGGAATGCTCACCTGAAGGCAAAAGCAAAACACGTAAGCCAACAGCAAGAAAGTAGATGGCGTATCAGGAGAAAGTGATTTTTAAAAGGAGTGGTCAATTCTTTTGCTAGTCTGAAAGCCAGCTGATGAACTCTGAAATTCCGCTCTATCAGTCTCTATCAGAATCAGCATCTAAGAAGGCCACACCACATTTTGTTGGTGAAGATCATCAAAATTTGATGATTTTCATAAAACGAAGGTAAGTCAAAGCAGTATATGGTCAAGAGAAGGTGCCTTCTGAAATGCCTGCCTACTTGAGAGAAAGAATGGAAGAACAGTGAAATAATAATGTATTTAAAAGATGTCTGTAAATCAGGACACATTTTATGCATCCTTAGGTTGGATGCTATTTGCCCTGATTCCACACAACCCAGGTTCCAAGGCTTTGTCCTCTCGACTTTCAATGCAACCAGGGCATCAAAGTAAAGCAACCATCCCCCAGCATGGAACAGTCACTTGTACCAATGAGTCTCTCTGCTTTCCCACAGTGTTACTAGATGTACTCTCTGAGTGTCCCTTTGCTCACCTGAAAACATTATCAAGGATATTAGTTCAACCCTAACTCTTAATTTCTTACCTCCTGGACTTAAGGCCTAAAAGAGACACAAAGATCTTTGTTAGTACTGGGAAAATTTTTACTGGCTGGTTCTCCCAGAAGAGGGCCAGAACTTTCCTTTCTTTATCCCTTCCTCACACTGATTCCCACTAAATATAATCCAAAGCCACCAGAACTAGTTTTCACCTTTCCAGTGGTAACAGGCTTTAGAACCCTCTTTACTGTCTCTTAAGGTACTAATCCCATAACTGTAAGGCTATCAATGTCTATTTTTATGTTTAAAAATGAAAGCTATATTGGAATTTCACTGGTACACTGAAATCAAATTAAAAATTTATTACAAAGTAGAAGAATGCATCAGTTCTATCCATGAAGAACAGTATTTGTAAGGATCACTTAGCTTACCAAGAAGTGCATAGCCATACAACTGGGAACTTAACCCCACTGAGTTCTTTTGCTTTAGGCCTGGGAGTAATAGGGATGCACCAAAGTTCCTTTCCTCTTCCCACTGCAACAGAATAAAACAGATCATGGTCCAGTCAAGCAAAGAATACTTTATGTAAAATTTGATTTTTAATGATTTTTAATAGGGGAAAAACATATTGTAGGACTGAGTAAAAAAAAAGCAAAATAACAAAGCTATAGGTACATTATTATCCTGATTTTATAAATAAAAGGTATTTATGTTTAATGACTAATACAGAAAAGAAATTCCTTGTTGATGGATTTCTAGAAATTATGAACTTTTTTTTCTTTACATTTTTCATTATTTTCCACATTTTTGGCAATGAATAAAGAGTTCCTTTTGCAATCCTTTTGCAATCAGAAAACAAAAATAAATAGCACACTCTGGACCAACACTGCCTTGAGACAATCAATAGAGATCACACATGCTGTCAGCCCAATATTCATTCACATTGCTACGACATGCTGGGGCAAGCTTTTGAATTTTAAACAATTCAGCAATGATAAGACTCCTACTTCACAGTGTAAAAATAAATACAACTATTAGGTTGCTTTTAGATAGATTTGCGCCTCTTAAAAATAAATTGGACAATCAGAAACACTTAGTGGTCATTTCTTTCAACCCAGGGTACAAAATTACACTTCAGTAAAATTGGCGCCTTCTGAGACTTGGGACAAAAGGGGCAAAAATGCAAGCATTGCTAAGCCTGCTGCAGAGTAGTAACAGCAGTGACGGGGGCTCAGAGGACAGCCTTGGCAACTCCCCAGACAATGAGAGCTGTGATCTTCTGGGTGCCGTATGGGTACACATCGGCCGGAGCCCTTGTTTGGACTTGAAAATAAAGAACACAAAGCTCAGGATGCCCTGAATTGGTCTCTGCAGTCAGAGGTCAGGGAGGAGGAAGCAGAGAATGAATGAGGCGTGCAAGCTACAATTGTAGCCAGGTGTAAGGGAGGCAACCCAGGTGTTAATGGGCACCCAAGCCTCTTTCCTGGGATTGGCCTTTGTGCGGTACAAATGTAATTTCTTAAGGGTTTTCTAAACCTTTGAAAAAAGCAAAGATCTTGGGAGAAAAACAAAGCCTCCCCAGGCACTTGTGTAGTACAGATAAGTAAAAGAGCTGGTAATGAGGACCAGGGCATTTCACTTTCAAAAGCAAATTGCCCTAAGGTTTGATTTTCCCCCATGTAAACTGCATGAAAAGGGACCCTGTGAATAATAAATAAGGAGCCTTAAACTTTTTTCTTTTCTTTAGGGAAAAACATGACCCATAGCATCAAAATGCAACAGGGCAGAAGCCAAAAGGACAGTACCCTTGCTGCTCTAGGAATTGAGCCTGGGTAGTGATGCTGGCTGGAACAGTGACACTGCTGATGGGACTTTTAAAAAGATGGATGAAAACAAACAAATGAATGTACAGATTTTTTTGATGATTCTCTGAGAATAATACAAACACCGCTGCTTATATGAAAAGCTATTTATGTGTTAACATAAGAGATCAGGTCTCTCCCAAACCTGTAGCTTCTATTGTACGTACTACTAAGGACGAAATCGGGTGCTACTGCACCAGGGCCCGCAAGGTTCTCCCACTTTGTGCTTGTGCCTTTCCCGTTAATACAAAGCAAATCTCATTCTCCCACTCCCCTCTCCCCTCCCCTTCCCTGCTAGAAAACCCAAAGCACTCACCTACACCAGCTGTCTCCTTTTTGCACCTTTAACTCATTCCACTATCCACTCCAATTTCCTTTCCTCCTCCATTATTCTATGGAAACACAGGTTACAATTTAGTGCCTTCAGGCCACTAAATTCAATGAACTTTTTAGAAGTCCTCACCTCACCTACCCTCTCAGAAGCATTCTAAACTGTAAACCACTCTCCTTCTGTGGTTTTTGGGACCTAAAACGTTCCTGATTTCCCTTTTTGCTCTGTGGCTCATCTGCAGAAATTTACACCTAGATGTATAAACTCTATCTCCAGTCCAGATTTTTCCAGGAAGATCCAATTTCTCTCATGAAATCTCTTGGTTGTCTAAAAGGCATCTCAAAATGCAACATGTTCATAGCCAAATTAATGATTTTCCTCATAAAACCCAGTCTTTTTCCAAAGTTCCGCTTGCAAACAAATGGCAACCCTTCCATCCAGATACACAAGTCAAAACTGAAGAGGTAAGATTTCATCTGTACGTCCCTGCCTCCACATACAGTTCCCCATCATGTTATCTGCTTCCTAAATATATGTTCACTGGCTACTCCTAACTCCAGACATTCTGGTCACCACATTACCATTACCTTTTGCTCAGACAACCATGTAGTCTCGCAAGTGCTCTGACCATAACCCATCATGGCCCCAATCCAATCTCTTACCCACATTACAGCCAGATGCATCTTTTCAAAACACAAACTGAACCATGTTACCCCTTCTGCTTAAAACTTTTCAATGGCTTCTCACTATTTTTACGATGCACAAATACAGCTTAGCATGACCTGCATTCTCCAACCTTACTTCACCACACGCCCTTCCTACCATTCTCTCTGCTGCATCTACACTGTCTTCCGATCCTCTTCCAGCCCCTTTCTGCTCACCGTGTTCTTTCTGCCACAGGGCTTTTGCATGTGTTAGTTCCTCTTTTTAGATTGTTCTTCCTCTCTTCAGCCAGTTAATTCCTATTCATCTTTTAAATACGAACTCAAGAAATATTTCCTCAAAGAAGCCATTCCTAACCTAAGTGTAGAATACAAACAAAAACTCCCTAAAATATATGCTTGTCATACGAGAGGTTTTCGTAATGCTCATTATAGTTATAGTTTTATATTCATGTATTTGTTTTTTTTTGCTTTGAATGCCTGTATTATTCTTTGGCTGGAAGCAGGGAATGTTTGTTTACTATTTTGTTTGTTTGTTTGTTTTGTTTTGTTTTTAAGATTTTATTTTTTTATTTGAGAGAGAATGAGATAGAGAGAGAGCATGAGAGGGGGGAGGGTCAGAGGGAGAAGCAGACTCCCTGTTGAGCAGGGAGCCCGATGTGGGACTCGATCCTGGGACTCCAGGATCATGACCTGAGCCGAAGGCAGTCGCTTAACCAACTGAGCCACTCAGGTGCCCCTGTTTACTATTGTATAACCAGTACTTGGCAATGTATGGAAGGCAATCATTGCCCAATATAAATTTAATCAACTAATGAATGTGAGGTATGCCATAGGCTATGACCCTCATTTTATTTATTTATTTATTTTTTTAAAAGATTTTATTTATTTATTTGACAGAGACAGACACAGCAAGAGAGGAAACACAAGCAGGGGGAGTAGGAGAGGGAGAAGCAGGCTTCCCGTGGAGCAGGGAGCCCGATGCGAGACTCGATCCCAGGACCCTGGCATCATGACCTGAGCCGAAGGCAGACGCTTAACGACTGAGCCACCCAGGCGCCCTATGACCCTCATTTTAGAAAAGCAAAACAGACCATAAATTCTTTTGAACGTGAGCTGGGTTAGATGTCCTTTTCAGTTCCTATGCAAACTAGTATTTTTTGATGTTACATTTGAAGTTGAGGTACTGAAGTTGTGGTAGACTGCAGGCCCAGGCTGCCTGGCTTCCCAAGGTGGCTTTGTCCCTTAGGAGCCTGGCAGCTATTATGTAACATCTCTGTGCTCCAGTCTTCTCATCCACATAGAACTGTGAGGATTAAATACATTAATAAGTTTAAGACACCAAGAACACAGCCTGGTGTAAAGTAGGTACTATTTTAATATTAGTTATTACTGTTATTACTGTTGTTATTCTTAGGGTAACAGTAAACAATTATTAAAGAGACTAACCTAAGAGAAGAAACCAAAACTTGGTATTCTGGACTGACCAGAGCAATGTCAGGAAAATACTGATGCCAACTGAACAATCGGCATTGAATGCCTGAGGTCGTGGTCAGTTAGCTGCCTCTCTGCTTCTTTGATATGCAAGTCCAACTGTCACTGATGATCAGGTACCCATTTCTGAATGTCTGAGGGGCATTCAGCCTAGCTCAAGTTTCAAAATGTGCATAAGGACTTTCACTTGAGATTCTTTCAAGTGGAATCCAGGTCCACTCTGTCAGAAACTGGAAACTAAAATGTACAGAAGGAGCACTCATTCCTGGCTGTTCGGGGGCCACAGGGCCACATGTCCAGATTTTGAGGTCTCCTCCAGCCACCTCCTCCCTGCTGAAGAGGCACCGTGGGCTTCTCGGGCTCTCAGTACCACTGTACCGCCTGTCACTTACGCTGCAGTCTGTCTTCTTGGCCAGGCAATGGTATAAAACATGGAGTGACAGAAGCTGGGTGGAAGGTACTTCAAAGGCTTCTTGCATCATGATCTCAAAAACCACAGATAAAGCATCTGGCAAAAAGATCAAAGTAAAAATGAGAGGGAATTAGTTTTAGGTAACATCACCAAATCTGTATTTAACTATAAACTTAAAAAGTGGGGCATGATAGAAAAACAAACAGAATTAAGAAGCAAAAAAATGTGAGCTCTGATCCCAGTTCTCCCATAAACTAGATCTTTCTCAAGTCTTTAGCTTCTGTTGTATTTACTATTATGTACTAAGTCTGGCGCTTTTGCACCAATGTTCTCAAGGACATGGAATAATCCACTTAATTTCTCAACTTCTCCCAGTATCATCCTCATGATGATAAAAAAATACCATTTGTCCCATCTACTTCAAAAGACTATGGGAGAGGGGCACCTGGGTGGCCCAGTCAGTTAAGCATCTGCCTTGGGCTCAGGTCAGGATCTCTCAGGGTTCTAGGATCGAGCCCCGCATTGGGATCCCTGCTCAGTGGGGAGTCTGCCTCTCCCTCTCCATCTGCCTCTCCCCCCAGCTCATGCTTGCTCTCTCTAATAAATAAATAAAATCTTAAAAAAAAAAAAAAAAAGACTACTGGACACTCCATCAAGATAGTACATACAAAAATGCCTCATAAATTGTGAAGCAAATTTAACCCATCACGTCCATCAGCTGGAAGAGCTAAGGTATACAGAAAGGAGGCAAATATATTTTCCAGGTCACCCTGACAAGCGGAGCAGAAGCTGGGCTGACTGCCCCATTCTGTGTTCTGGAACCTTCTCCGTGCTGGGGCAAATGAAGACAAATGCTAGAGACGATCCTAAATCCCAGGTATCATTTCAGAGACAGAAAACTGATGACTATAAAAAGGATAATCAGGCTCAGTTTAAAAATACTTGCAAGACTATAAAGGAAAATGCTCATTCATAAATGATAAACCCCTGACTGTAAAATACAATGTAAGGTGTTTGTGGACACATGAATGCTGATCACAGCAGATCAGATCTTGAGCAATTTTTCCTTTCCCTTAAAATTCCACAACATAGATGGAAACCAAGAAAATCAAGTTCAGACTATTTCTTTTCCTTAATATTTGTTGTTAAATTAGAGAATGTTAATACTGGTTTAAAATATGGTGCCAGCACATAAAACAGGCACAACAAATGTTTTTGACTAACTAAGTTGCTGTGTTAACCAATTTTTGCATATAATCATAATTATAAGAGTTCGCACCGACTCACAGCTGTTCCTAACCAGCTGGCTTTGTGTATGTTGTCATGGTTTTAAATGAGGCCATAGGCAAGAACTTCTATATTCTTTTTCCAAATGGGGAAACTCAGATAGACCAGAAAGTCATCTACTATAATCAGTAGCAAATAAGGATCTAGAAGAGATTTAAAACAAACAAACAACAACCCTAAACAAACCAGTATTTTAAAAGAACACAATTTAAAGCTAAAAAATCCAGTTTAAAAAAAAATCTGGTTTTTCAACTGTTCACTGCTGAATCCAAAATTAAACATGAAAAATGAATCAAACTTACTTTATCTTTTACTTATATTCTGCATTTCATTCAGCTTGGGAAGTGAAATCAGATTACCCTGTATAATTAATTAACTTTTCCTCCATATTCATTTATGTACTTTGATATTTCCTATCCCAGTAACAATAAAAAGTATAACATTTTCTAAATTTTTGCCATAAATGATAATAATCTTCATTAAAACTTTATTTTTAGAAATCCTCAATATTAAATATTTACTCTGCATTTAGGGAAAAAAAAGTCCTGTGACCCTTCCACCATGCCCTTTAAAGAGAGAGGGCAGGGAGAAAACTGCTTCTAATAATTCTCCAATGATACACTATTAAATCTGATGTTCATGGAGCACAGATTCAGAAACATACAAAAGCTAATTCCCTTTCACTTGAATTCAGGAAATGTAGGTTTAAAACTGAATAAGAAATAGACAAGAAGGGATAACTGACATTTCAAAAAATAATATACAGCAAATATTCTTCAGCAGTCAACAACTGCAAGCCTTTTGAGAGAGAAGATAAAGCAGAGATCTAGAGGAGACAAAGGGGAGAGGTGGCCACATCAGGGCAGGAAGGCCCTGTCCCTCGCCTAAACACTGAGTGCGGATGCAGTGGGAAAGGCCATTGGTGCGGTGTGCAGGGATGAGGGGATGGAACCCAAAGGCAGGAATCTCAGATGTCATAAACGTAAGTGCCCACCAGTCCATATCCATGTTCCTGAGGTAGTAACTACCCTAACACAGCTCCCCCGTGGCTCCTCAGTACCAAGCCTGAGGATGAAATGGGGGAAAGGGAAAGCCAGTGTGTGTCTTTACACAGTGGCAAGGCTCCTCCTTCCTTCTTCACTGTCAGCACAGCCACGAACACAAGCATGCTGTTATAGGATTCCCTAACCCACGGACATTGGCCGGGGCCCACCAGACTCCTCTGTACAGTCAGTCTGCTGCGACCTCCATCTTTCCTTGGACTACCTTATGGTAGTGGAAGTGAAGAAAAGTCACTTCAAATTAACTGCACAGGATCAAGGAATTTCGGGGGTAAAGAGATCTCAGACAGAAGAATGAAACTGAGCCATTTCCTTACACCACACACAAAAACAGACTCAAAATGGATAAAAGACCTAAATGTGAGACAGGAATCCATCAAAATCCTTGAGGAGAACACAGGCAGCAACCTCTTTAACCTTAGCCACAGCAACTTCTTCCTAGAAACATCGCCAAAGGCAAGGGAAGCAAGGGCAAAAATGAACTATTGGGACTTCAACAAGATAAAAAGCTTCTGGGGGCGCCTGGGTGGCTCAGTTGGTTAAGCGACTGCCTTCGGCTCAGGTCATGATCCTTGAGTCCCGGGATGGAGTCCCACATCGGGCTCCCTGCTCAGCAGGGGGTCTGCTTCTCCCTCTGACCCTCCTCCCTCTCATGCTCTCTCTCTCTCTCTCAATAAATAAATAAAAATCTTAAAAAAAAAAAAGATAAAAAGCTTCTGCCCAGGAAACAGTAGACAAAACCAAAAGGCAACTGACAGAATGGGAGAAGATATTTGCAAATGACATATCAGATAAAGGGCTAGTATCCAAAAATCTATAAAGAATTTATCAAACTCAACACCCAAAGAACAAATAATCCAATCAAGAAATGGGCAGAAGACATGAACAGACATTTCTGCAAAGAAGACATGCAAATGGCCAACAGACACATGAAAAAGTGCTCAACATCAATTGGCATCAGGGAAATAAAATCAAAACCTCAATGAAATACCACCTCACACCAGTCAGAATGGCTAAAATTAGTCTTTCAAGTCCCTCTTACACTGTTGGTGGAAATGCAAGCTGGTGTAGCCACTCTGGAAAACAGTATGGAGGTTCCTCAAAAGGTTGAAAATAGAGCTACCCTACGACCCAGCAATTATGCTACTGGGTAGTTACCCCAAAGATACAAATGTAGTGACCCAGAGGGGCAAGTGCACCCCAGTGTTTATGGCAGCAATGTCCACAATAGCCAAACTATGGAAAGAGCCAAGATGTCCATCAACAGATGAATGGATAAAGAAGAGGTGGTATATATATACAATGGAATATTACACAGCCATCAAAAAATTGAAATCTTGCCATTTGCAATGATGTGGATGGAACTAGAGGGTATTACACTGAGCGTAATAAGTCAATCAGAGAAAAGACAAGTACCATATGATCTCACTGATACGAGGAATTTGAGAAACAAGACAGAGGATCATAGGGGAAGGGAGAGAAAAATGAAACAAGAGGAAACCAGAGTGGGAGACATAAGAGACTCTTAATCTCAGGAAACAAACTGAGGGTTGCTTGAGTGGAGGGGGGGTGGGAGGGATGGAATGGCTTGGTGATGGATATTGGGGATGGTATGTGCTATGGTGAGTGCTGTGAATTGTGTTAAGACCTGTACCCCTGAAACAAACCAATACATTATATGTTAATAAAAAAAAAAAAGAGAGAGAGAGATCTCAGAGATTACCCATTCACTTATTTTATAGATGAGGAAACAAGAGCCTGGGGAGGTAAAAGGACTTTTCTTCATAGCAAGGGTACTGCTCTCTCCAGGAAATCAACTGATTTTATAGTCTTATATTTCACACAGAGTAACAACTGTGATTTAAATTAAACAAAGTTAGCAAACGATACTAAAAAAAGTCAAGCTAATAATTGCATTACCATAATCTTAACCAGCCATGGAAGCTCAGGCAGGTTTACTGCTTAACTAAATTCACTGTCCTTTGCACAAGGAGGCATGAACAAATAAACTTGAGAAACTCAGAGGAAAAAAAACCGGGATATGATTGTCCTATATGGCCAAGTGGTTTGGTAAATCAACCACACATCTATTTCTGACAGAAAGAGTGATATAAAGAGATGTCATTACAAAATAAAATACGGGAAATTGCCCATATTTACTTCCCTTTAGGAGCTGAAGCCCTATTATAAATGGACCCGGGTTTGGTTTCTTACCTTTGTAATTTTCGTTCTTTATGAAATAATCCATCAGTAAATTGAATGTAAAGTTATCTGGAAAAATTCCATACTGGACCTGTAATGGTAATGAAAATAAAAGGAAAATAAGAGTAAAATATCCACTTTCACTCAGTTTATAATATATGCCTATGCATTATTCATGACAAAACCTGCCACCATTAGCTTTAAGATATTTGCCTATCATTTTACAGCATCTGTGGCAGTGAAATAGAAGCTGTGATTCATGAGGTTTGGTAATTGGAATTTGGTCAGGGTAGGAAAGTTGTGAGTGGGTGTGTGATATAAGACAACTGATATGTGGAAAATAAAGCTCAATTCTAGTATCTTATGAAGGCTAAAAAAAAAAAAAACCCCAAAATAAAAAAACAAAACAAAACAAAAACAACAATCTCCCACCCCCCACCCTGATACTCCACTGATTCAGCAGTTCTTTTTATAAGGTAAGAATATCAATGCAAAAATGGACTCTCACGAGGAAGTACATATTATCACATTACGCAGCATTTTCTGGTCTTTATTTTGTCTCCAACTTTTTTGAGCTATAATTGACAAACAACATCATGTAAGTTTAAGGTGAACAAGCTGATGATTTAATACACATATACACTGTAAAATGATCATGATCGCCACAGTAAGGTTAGTGAACACATCCATAATCTCACATAAGTACCATTTTGTGTGTGTATGTGTGTGGTGGTGGTGGTGAGAACATTTAAGATCTCCGCAACTTCCAAGTATATGATACACTATTGTTAATTATAGTCACCACGCTGTACATTAGAGCCTCAGAACTTACTCATCTTTTGACTGAAAGTTTGTACTCTCTGATCACCATCTCCTCATTTCCCCCACCTCCCAGCCCTTGGAATTTACCATTCTACACTGTTTCTATGAGTTTGGCTTTTTTTTTTTTTTTTTAAAGATTTTGTTTATTTGAGAGAGCGAGCGAGCGAGCACGGGCAGGGAGGAGAGGGAGAAGCAGGTTCCTTGCGAGCAGGAAGCCTGATGTGGGGCTCGATCCCAGGACCTTGAGATCATGACCTGAGCTGAAGGCAGACACTTAACCAACTGAGCCACCCAGGTGCCCCGAGTTTGGCTTTTTTGATACCACATGTAAGTGAGATCATAGGGTATCTACCTTTCTCTGACTGATTTATGTCACTTTGCTTAATGACCTTAAAGTTCATTCATGTTGTCACAAATGGTAAGATCTCCATGTATATGGCTGAATAATATTCCATTGCATACATACACACCACATTTTCTTTATCCATTCATCCATCAATGGATACTCAGGTTGCTTCCACGGTTGGCTATTGTAAATAATGCTGCAGTGAACAGGGGGGTTGCAGATATCTCTTTGAGATTCTATTTTCATTTCCTTTAGATATATACCCAGAAGTGGGATTGCTGGATCATATGGAAGTTCTATTTTTAATTTCTTCAGGAATCTCCATACTCTCTTCCATAGTGGCTGCACCAATGTGCATTTCCACCAACAGTACACAAGGCTTCTCTTTTTGCCACATTCACACCAGCATTTGTTTTTTCTTGACTCTTAGACTGGTTTTTTTAAGGCCTAGAAATACCAAAATATTACTGAGTTCCTGTTCATAAGCAGCTAAGTATTTGAGAATCCAGATTTCCCAAAGTGTGGACCCTTTAACATCTGCCTCAGAATTCTCTGGGAGTGCTTTTATTTATTTTATTTTTTTAAGATTTTTTATTTATTTATTTGACCGAGAGATAGAGAACACAAGTAGGCAGAGTGGCAGGCAGAGGGAGAGGGAGAAGCAGGCTCTCTGCCGAGCAGGGAGCCAGACGTGGGGCTCGATCCCAGGACCCCAGGATCATTGACCTGAGCCGAAGGCAGCCACTTAACCAACTGAGCCACCCAGGCACCCCTTTAGGAGTACTTTTAACGAAGTAGATTTCTGGGGCACCTGGGTGGCTCAGTTGCTTAAGCATTCAACTCTTGGTTTTGGCTCAGGTCAGGATTTCAGGGTTGTGAGATCGAGCCCAGTGTTGGGCTCCATGCTCAGTATGGAGTCTGCGTGGAATTCTCTCCATTTTCTCTCTCCCTCCCACTCTGTCCTTCTCCTTCCTCTCTCTCTAAAATAAATAAAATCTTAAAAAAAAAAGAAAAAAATGCAGATTGCTAAACCTCAGACTTAGAGAATCAGAATGTCTGGGAACAGGGCACATAAACCTGAAGTTTTAGTGACCTTTCTATGTGATTTTCATGCACAATCAAGTTTGACTACTAATGACCTAGACTGTGGTTGTATTTTTGTTTTAAATTCTTACTTGAGTAGGATTAACTACCATCCCTTCACCCTGCCCCATTCTTCCTCCACCAACCACCAGAAACACCTGAGGAATTTTTTCAAACGATACCCACTCCCGGGGAGAGTCTGACAGTCCTAACCCCCAGTTGTGAATCACTGCTAAATTGAGTTACTGTTACAGCAGGCTGTATGGGATGCCTCAGATATGCTGAAATGGAAAAAGGGTTTAGAAGCCATTTTTTAAAGGTTGTGCCTCATGGGCAGTTTCTATATTTCTCAAAGCAGTCATCCAAATCAGCACTAATCCCCAGGGGCAGGGCAAAAACAAAATATTTTAGAATGATAAAACATTAAAGCTGGAAGGAGCCTTAAAAATCAACCAGTCAGTGATCCTCAACCCTGGCTGCAAATGAGAATCAACGTGGGAGCTTTAAAAGGATACCAATGAGGGATGAAGAGGCAAACACAAAGGCTTTTAAGGGCAGTGAAATGACTATATGATACAATAATATAAATATATACATGTCGTTGCACATTTGTCCAGACCTACAGATTGTATACCACCAAGAGTAAGCCCTACTGTAAACTATGGATTTGGGGGATCATGATGTGTCAATATAGCTTCATCAATTATAACGGATGGATCACTCTGGCTGCAGGGGGCAGTGTTGATAATGGGGGAGGCTGTGCATGTGTGGGGCAGGGAGCATACAGGAAATCTCTGTATCTTCTGCTCAATTTTGCTGTGAACCTAAAACTGCTCTAAAAAAATAAAGTTTCGGGCGCCTGGTGTTAAGCGTCTGCCTTCGGCTCAGGTCATGATCTCAGGGTCCTGGGATCGAGTCCCGCATCGGGCTTCCTGCTCCTTGGGAGCCTGCTTCTCCCTCTGCCTCTCTCTCTCTGTCTCTGTCTCTCATGAATAAATAAATAAAATCTTAAAAATAAATAAATAAATAAAGTTTCTTTGAAAAAATTTTGTTTTTAATCCATTAAAAAAAAAAAACCCAAAAGCCTGTGCTCTATAAAAGTCAGTTAAGGGGCGCCTGGGTGGCTCAGTTGGTTAAGCGACTGCCTTTGGCTCAGGTCATGATCCTGGAGTCCCTGGATCGAGTCCCGCATCGGGCTCCCTGCTCAGCGGGGAGCCTGCTTCTCCCTCTAACCCTCCCCCCTCTCGTGTACTCTCTCTCTCTCATTCTTGCTCTCTCAAATAAATAAATAAATCTTTAAAAAAAATAAAAAGTCAGTTAAATGAGAATCTTGGGGGTAGAGAAAAGCATCTCTAATTTTTAGAAGAGTCTTGTGTGATTCTAATGGGTAGCCAGGGTTGGAAATCACTGACGTAGTACTTAGAGTTGAAAAAACTAAGACCTAGATGGGTAAAATTATTTGCCTGAAATTATGGGCAACTGGTGGAACTTATGCGATTATAGCATCGGTTTTCTGACTCCTTGTCCAGTGTTCTTTCTACCAAAAGACTAGGAACAGCAGAAAATGAGATAAACTTTTATGCCTTTCTAGACCTTCTTGTTTTGTTTTCAAAGAACTCTTCAGTGAGTATAATCTGTGTCATTAAACTCTGAACTGATGATAACAGGATTTGATCCATTCCTTCCTCTGGGGCCTAATATTAGATTTCTCAGTAAACCTTTTTACCTGCATTATTCAATTATAAGCTTCCTGAGGGCTAGGAAAGGATATTGCTCATTGTTATAGACAATGCTATACCCAACGCAATGTCTCACACATAAACTGCAACTGGGCCCAAGTCATGGGAAAAAAACAAAATTATAGTATCCTTTTTAATTCTAACATACAAGGTTCAGTGATACTAAAGAGATCATATGTTTGCAGAGAAATATTGTTAAAATCTTTTTATGAGTCAAAAAAGGGTTATAGCTTGAGACTCACAAAAATAACATTCACAATTTTTGCTTATGTTGTACTTTATTTCATACTATAAAGGTAATGAAGACTCAACCCTTGGGGTAATGTAACATTCAGAAAAGCCCTAATCATAGAGAACTCTGCGGCTCAAGGAGAGGAGTCAGGGAATTCAGCAGATATGTTTTGAGTAACCTAGGAATATTTTTAAAAATACTAGGAACACTTTTAAAAACTGTGTAGGATAGTATGAATACTCTGGGGATCACATTCCAGCAAAATGGTCATGTCCTAACATCACCAAAGGGAACCAGGTAAGAGATCCAAGTCTTAGGGATCAAGACTGAAATGAACCACCAGTGCAGAATTCTTGTGACTGAACTTTTTGTTTTTAGCTGTCATTTTCCAGTCACTAGGTGTGGAAAAGCAGCAGCTAGGGGAATTTATACATTTAACTACTGATTAACTTATAGTTAATTCCATTCTAAAAAGGATATCTGGGAGCAAATAAATATCAAAAGCTATTTCTTATCCTAGTCTTTGCTATACTGTAGTAGGTATTATCATCTAAACTTAGGAAAACAAGCTGCAAATACCAGGAAACCACTCACCTTATTTACAAGGGTATATAAGGCTTTGTCTTGTGCACCGTATTTTAAACACTGCCTAATCCAGGTGTGGATAGTCCAGTCTCTCAGGTACCAGCAGTTGGGGCTGTGTCGAAATCTAAATAAAGTGTAAGAAGAAAGAAAACTGGGGTTAACTCTGAAATGTCAATGCCAAAATGCATCCTCCTTCAGCAGGTCCTTCTCTTAGATACTTATAGAAGTGCAGTCAATGTGACCAAAAGTCCTAAAGGTCAACAGTCAATAAAAATTCGACTATAAAACCTGTTAACTGTAAAGTTTAAAATGGGAAAGAAGGCAGAATTATCAATAACAAAGTACTGTAAATGCTGTATTCCTTACTTAACGCTTCCTTATTCAACACCTTGTTTTTAAAATATGAGATTTCTAAAAAATAATCTGGGGGGAAATACTAACCATAGCATTATACAAATACGCATTTCATTAGAAGAGAGATGTGAGGCTGACGCTGACACTTTTGAAGTTTAAAATAAAACAGATGAAGCAAAAATGAAGAAAGGAATAGCACAGCAACTCTAGAGGGATATCAGCTTTGAGTTATACTGATATTTCTTATGGCACTTAGGAGAGACTGGGACACTCTTCACTGAACCAAAAGAAAACAAAAAAGCAGAAAAAAATAAAAATGGAGCATAGTTAAACATCCAGGTCTTCCAGGATCCACATCCGCCACTGCCCTCTTCAAAGCTCCAGTCTAGCTCATCAGTTTGTCCATCTCCCGTCTCCTTTTCGTTTCCTGTAGCTGCCCACGTGGTTTTAAAAGGCCAAAGCAGCCCGAGCGGAGCCGTGTGTGGCAATGGTACCTACAAAGGAACGGAACTTAGAAAGGGATTCTGAGCACTGCTCTTGCCTCAAGTGCGCAGCACACACTGGTGATACCCAGGGTTGGGGCGACTTCTTGTGCCTGCGGGTCCCTGCCACAGACTGAGGGAGAGAGGAGACGCTGCTCTGAGGGGCTGTTTAAAGAGCTCTGTGGTCCTTTTTCTGTTTATCTGCTGTGACTGGGACACAGGATCAAATGTCGTATCATGGCAGGGGAAGTCCCCATCTTTTCTTTAATTGTTCAGGAAGCACATCAATCTCCAGATCCTCCTTACAAAAATCAACTGTTTTCTTAAATAAAAAAGGTAAGACAAAAACTTGGAGCAAAAGGATTTTGTGCCATATTTGAGTCGAGGATACGGCTAATACTAGTGTTTTTTAGAAGCTGGTTATTCAATCCGCCACCTGCTATTTCCTGCCATCTGCTATGGGGATAGTTTCCTGCTGAACAGGTTCTCTGCCAAAGTAAGAGCTGAGAAAAAGAGGAAGTGTGAAGTAGTATTTAATTTAGGATATTTATTAGTGCTCTGGTGAGAAATTTGGCAAAAATAAGATCTGAAGAGGTTTTGTGGATATAGTCACTTAACCCTCTCTAGACTTTGGAGTATCTTACATCTTGCTGGAAATTATTTCTCTTTCTTTACAGAATTAATCCCTTTAAAAGCAGAAAGATAGATGGGGCACCTGGCTGGTTCAGTCGGTGGAGCAGGTGACTTTTGATCTTGGGGTCATGAGTTCGAGCTCCATGTTGGGGGTAGAGCTTACTTTAAAAAATTTTTAAAAACCTATACAACTTAAAAAAAAAAAAGGCAGAAAGATAGAAATATGCCAAATTATGTTCTGGATAAAAATGACCCAGTCAGAGAAAGGCACTGTACAGGTGCCCAAGATAACTAGATCTAATGAGATCTTCTGCATAGAAATGAAACAAAATGTATCTTTTAGGATTTCATGCTTTCCCTCACATTTTAAAGTCAACAGTCAAGCTACTTGAGTTCCTCTCCTTGTTACTCTGAAACATCTGAGATTTAAAGCATAATGGCCAATTAAAAGTTTACTTATTTTTTAAAGAAACAATTCAAGAGAATTACCAGGCGTACTGCCTAAAGGAGAGTGGTGCTGCCTTGCTGGGCTGTAAGCTCGCAGGGCAAGGAGAGGCATGCTGACCGGCCCAACACTGACTCCTCGGTGCCTGACACAGTTGGTGGCCCACAGGTTTTCAGCACATAAAAAAAGAGCTTCGGTCAACAAAGGTATAAAATGCTATAAACGTGCTGATCATTTTGCTAACATCTACGACATATATGAAGAACTGTAAATTCCCTGTTTGGGGCATTAATAATTTCATTACAAACACAAAGTACACAAACATAGTTTCGCAACAGTAAGAGGTGGGAAACAGTTGGTGCTAAGGAGACACAGGGTACTGCTAGCTGCTGGGAAGTGTTTTGGGTAGCAGTGATTATTACGGTCTGTCCATTTTTCCTTTAAAAACAAACAAACAAAATTAAAAATGCCAATTACCTTCTCTACCCAAGATTATTTTAAACCTAAACCTCATTTTAAAATCTAATCTTCTGCCTCAGGATGTCTCCAGTGACTACAGAAGTTGCGGCTTTTCTTTCTGATAAGACTTTAAAATAATAGCACTGTAACCAAATCCAACCAAACCCCCTTTTCTCTTATTCAGGATCAGCAGACCATTTTTATTTAGGCTTTAAAGAAAACAAAGACTAACAGGACCTAGGTTTAGACCTTCAAAGCTCAAATTAAAATTTGTTTAAAGTCATTTGTTAACCATCTGAGGGTAACTTTCATACATGGGGGAACAGAACAATTTTATCTTCTCAAAGGTCTTTTCTTCTCACACTTCGATTTCTTAGAAACCTAGAGGGAAAGTTACTCAAGACTTCACACATCCAATATAATCATCTCAGCACAGCAGCCTTTGAGACATTTGCCAACAAACTCTCGGGGGTCTTTAATAAGTCTACTCTCTCCCTCATCCTGGAACGGGGCTAGTTGGTATGATCTCTGCTCTCTAAAACCCAGTAATCCAGATACACAACCATGTCTAGGACATGTTCAACTATGTGAGCATATTAAATCAATTTAGGAATAAGAGGGAAACACTACACATATTTTATGAAATATGTTGCCCAAACTGCAGTTCCTGCATTTCCCAGCCAGGCAACACATAAACTCCTTTCTAAGCCCTTACCAGTGTTAAAAAAGAAATGAGCACACAAACGTATGTGTGTTATCTAGCTGTCTAGAATATAAACAACTCAAACCATTGAGATAGTAGGGTCCTCCCCACTCTGGATGGTGAGTTTGAGAAGGATTTCTCTTTATCAATGCCATTTTAAGCAGTTCAAACAGATAAACTTGGGCCCTTGCTCAGAACTGCCAGTGGTAATATGATAGGCAGGTAAGTCTCTGGAATGGATACCCGCCTGGAATGATTCTGTGGACTGCTGGACGAGCATTCTCCCTTTCAGCCAGGAGAAAGGCAAAGAGACGAGAACACAACTAACACATTGATTTTCCAATTTGCCTGCAAACAGACTGGCTTTTGTTCTCGCCTGCTCTGACCACCAGCCTGGCAGATTATAGGCGGCCACTGTAGGAGTCCCCTCTGTGCCCCGTGCCATCAGCTGTTTGCTCACCTCGACAGAAGCTTTATTATTGTCCAGGCCAGCAGGCTGCCAAGCTAGGCAAACCGTGTGAGTGTGGAAAAGATAAACAAAATGCAACCCAAATCTCCCCAACAATGCCTGTGCTCGTGGAGGCCAGGGATATTCTGAGTTTCCAACTTAGAAAATATAAGTAAACTTACAACTATCCTAAGGACATGAGTTTTTCCTGGAGTAAGGAGGGGCACAGGAAGGAGAAGGAGAGAATGAAGACGTGCACTCTCAAGCTCTACCTCTAGTTCTCAAAGTTGGTATCCCAAGGCCAAGGACCCTCTGTCCACAGTGCTCAGTGGAGTTCCAGGTGAAGACAGAACTGGCCTAAGAAGCCAAATCATGGCCAATCAAATGGCAGGAACTGGGAAGCTTCCTCTCCTCAAAAATCAGGCTATATTCACGACCGCTCAGGGCATTCGCCTGCACCAATGCTCATTCAAGATTAATGTCACCAGGAAGGAAGCAGAGGAGAATCACAGGCTGCAAAATTGACCGGGGGCAGAAGTCTTTGATACCTTAGAGATTTTTTTAATCGGGGAAGAGAGGTTATATCAAAGAAGTCAAGAGTGAAAAGCAAAACACTAGAGACTGACTGTGATTACATAAAAGGTACTTTACTGCACGAAAAAGTCACAGGGTATTTCCTATTTGTAATCAATTTCATCATTTCATTGAAAAAAAAATAAAGGGGGAAACAGCCTTTTCTCCACAGGATTCATATAAAGGTTACTGTTGAAGGCAAAAGTGACAATGTTCATCAGCTCTTCAGTACAGCTAGTAAATGTGACTCTGGCTGGGGCAGGGCTAATGCACAGATGCCAGAGCCTGGAGCTCAGTGGCTCCACCATTTAGCTGCAGCACCGGCTCTTCCATATGAATGAGCAAGCTTTCCACAACGTTTATCTGATTATGAGAGCCACCATCCTTAAACATACACATGCAGTTTTCCCTCCTCCCTAGTGAATTCCGTATCCTGTGGCAACAGGCTTTACAGATGGAAACCTCAGCTTTTGAGCTGGGCACACATGGAGGCGAGTGAGGGGCCAGGGTGAAGAGAGGAAAGAAACAGTGCCAAGAAGAAAATACAGCTGGTACTAAAGCCTGTCGTGTGGACTGTGAATCTTATCAGGGAAGCAAAGTGTGTAATTATTAAAAGGCCCGAGCACTTCCCTGAACTAGAACCAAAGGGTAGAAAGGGTGTCGTGTGACTGTTTAAACCAGAATCTGATTCAATCACTGCTGACTTTCTCATCCTAAAAGGATAATTACTTTCTTTTGCAACCTTCTGGAAATTCTGCTTTCATCAATTATTAATCACCCCCCCAAAAAAACCCGTAAATAAAATCAAATTTTGAGAATTTTTCTCATGACGATTATATTTTAGTCAAGTGTTTGAAAAAGGGGTAGGGTCTGATAAAGGAACTGATAATAAAGACACAGTATTGTAGATTTTAAAACTCTTGCTTGCCCTTGAGATCCCAGAGTCTTATTCTTACAGAGGAACTTCAGGTAATTTTAACTTTCAGCAAACATGTCCCAACTGTGCACTAAGAGAAGCACCAGGAGC